ACCCACTATGGGATTCTGAGCTCTGTGCTATGAGTATCTGCTCCAGACAACTAGGGGTAAACACTTTGAGCTGCTTTTCTCTCTCAGCCCTCAGCAAATTAATTTCTAACCCCCAAATCCACAAAGCCTCTTTTGCCTCCATGTCTCTATCTACACCAGTTCTCCTCTCCGAGTTCTATCTCTTCCCAGCAACCTCATCTTGAAAGCTGCCTCCCAGGCCTTCTGGGACCCCAGGTTGTAAGTTCCTTTCCATTATCCAATTCTTGGCCATTTTTCTAGTATCTGAGAAAGTACTTACTTATTCATGTGATGTTGATAATGTCTTTTCTCTCCCAGTGGGGTTGGATTATAACATTTAACTGCACGGCTGGGAGGACAATCTGCTTGTGGGGAGACTAAACAGTTTACAAAAATATTTATTTCATGAGAAAAATTTCTAGTTTTCCTTGCATTCCTCCTCTACCAAATAAAATGAGGGCAATTTATTCCAAACTTCAGAACTTGAGTGTTCTAAAATGTCAGTATTAAAAACAAACTGAAGCAGTACTGTGCAGATGTGAGAGACACTGGACAGGATTTACCTTTTTCATGGTGATATAAAATAGATTTACCTTTTTCATGGTGATATAAAATATTATAATTAATTTATTTTTCCCTTCTGAGAACTATGCGTTTAAAGGTTTAAATATCCTATTGATGTATGGTTTGTTGCAATAAAAACCCATGAGATTAAAGAGGTTGCCTGAGACTTAAAGGGCATGAAGAATGATTCTGGGAGTTAAGTGAAAACAGCGAGCCATGACTACAATCTCCAGAAAGCTGGACATTTATGAATTGCCTTTTCACATAAATTCATCCACGATGCTGCAAACAACAGGCTTTCATGGTCTCTAAGGACCGCATAGCATTCCCCTTGTGAATATGCATGACATCCTTCTCCATTCATCTGTCCTCAGATACTTAGCTTTGAGTGCTGTGAACACTGCTGCAGCGAACATGGGCATCTCTTCACCACACACAGCTCTTTTCCTGTCCTAGCAACCTGAATCACATATGATCCGTACTGAGCTCCATTTCTTGCATAGCCAAATAGTGCCATTAGCAGATTCTCCTTGCTAGTCCTGTCATCTTTGTCTTTGATAATAACCATGCTAACAGATGTGAGATGATGTCTCCTAGGATTTTGACTTGCATTTGGCTTAAAGGATTTGGCTTACAAAGTCTTTCCTGGGCAAATGGATTGATGTTAGATCAAGGCAACACTAGAATTATAACCTGTAAGTTCAGCTGCCTTTGCACAAAATGTCTTTCAGATGCTTATTAAGAAGGTAGAAGAAGATGCACCTGGTGGGCTTACCCTACCTTGCATGTTTCAAGACTCAAGTCAGTTTGCCCTTCCTCTATGCCCATGGACTGAAGGGTCCCACAGATACAGAGCAATCTGCTACTGTCCAGAGTCCAGTGTGCCCTCCCTGCTGGCTTTGTGCACTTTTCTGCCTCCTGAGACAGCCTCCACCCACACATGCTTTCCACCTGCACTTTGCAAGCACCCACTATTGTCTGGGGTAGTATTTTATGACAAAGGTAAAAGATTTTGAGTGTTCCGAAGCTAAGCATAGTTGTTCAGTAAACCCTGTTATTTGCATGCATTATTTCAAAGAAGTCAGGGTGGCTAATGAATGTACGTATAATGCTGCAAAAAGAATACTATGGAAATTACATGTGTGTGTATAATTTCCATTTATACATTTGATTTCCATTTATTTTTTCTATAGAAACCATGTTATCATGGAGTTATACTCATGACTAAAAGCAAATGACTGAATTATTATTTTTTTTTTACAAATGATCACAAGTAACATATTTATCTAACTTTTAGTATAAGGCTGAGCCATCCAATTATAATCAGTAATCAAGGTTGCTATTCCTAGCAAATACAAAAACCACTTGATCATCTCAGTAGATGCAGAAAAAGCCTTTGATAAGATCCAACACCATTTCATGATAAAAGCTCTAAGAAAACTAGGAATAGAAGGAAACCTCAAATTATACAAGCTAACATGACAAAACCTACAGCCAGCATTATACTTAACGGAGAAAACTGAAACCATTCCTCTAAAATCAGGAACCAGACAAGGATGCCCACTATCTCCACTCCTATTCAACATAGTACTGGAATTCCTAGCCAGAGCAATTAGGCAAGAAGAAGATAAAAGGAATACAAATAGGTAAAGAAACTGTCAAAATATCCTATTTGCAGACGACATGATCCTATACCTAAAGACCAAAAACTCTACTCAAAGCTTCTAGACACCATCAATAGCTAAAGCAAGTACAGGATAAATCAACATAGAAAAATCATTAGCATTTCTATTACACTCAAAATAGCAAACTGAAAGAATGAATGAAAACAATCCCATTACAAGTAGCCTCAAAAAAATCAAATACCTAGGTGTAAACTAACAAAAAATGTGAAAGACCTCTACAAGGAAAAACTAAACTTCGAAGAAAGAGATGAGGAAGACTATAGAAAGAGAGATCTCCCATGCTCATGGATGGTAGAATCAACATAGTAAAAATGTCGATACTCCCCAAAGTAATCTACATGTTTAATGCAATTCCCATCAAAATTCCAATGATTCCATTAAAGAGAATTGAAAAATTACGTTAAATTTATATGGAACACAAGAGGCCACGAATAGCAAGGCATACTCAGTCAAAAGAACAATGCAGGAGGTAATCACAATACCTGACTTCAAACTATATTACAAACGCAATAACAATAAAAAACAGCATGTACTGGCACAAAAACAGACATGAAGACCAGTGGAAAGAATAGAGGACCCAGATATGAAGCCACAGAACTTAACCAATTATTTTGACAGAGGAGCTAAAATATTACAATGGAAGAAATAGCAGCTTCTTCAATAAAAAACTGCTGGGAAAACTTGGTTAGCAGTCCTGCAAAAAACTGAAACTAAGATCCATGTATATCACCCTATACCAAGATTACTCAAAATGGATCAAGGATCTTAATATCAGACCCCAAACTCTTAATGATACAGAAAGAGTAGGAAATACCTGGAGTTAGTAGGTATAGGTAAGAATTTTCCAATGAAACCCAGCAGCACAGCAACTAAGAAAGATAGCAAGATAAATGGGAACCTCATAAAATAAAAGCTTCTGTTCATCAAAAGAAATGTCTTCTAAACTAAGAGACACCCACAGAGTGGATAAAATATTTGCCAGCTACACATCAGACAAAGACTGAAAACCAGAATATACAGGAACTTAAAAACTAAATTCTCCAAAAACTAAATGAACCAATAAAGAAATGGGCAAGTACTAAACAGACTTTGCTCAAAAGAAGAAAATTCAAATGGCCAGAAAACAACATGAAAAAATGCGCAACCCATCTCTAGCATAAAAGAAATGCAAATTAAAACCACGCTAAGGATTCCACCTCACCCCGTTAGAACAGCCATCATTAGCAACACCAGCACCAACAGGTGTTGGCGAGGAATGTGGGGAAAAAGAACCCTCTTACACTGTTGGTGGCATGTAAGACTAGTACAACCACTCTGGAAAAAAATTTGGAGGCTACTTAAAAAAAAAAGCTAAACATTGTCTACCATTCGATCCAGCAATACCACTCTTGGATATACCCAAAAAAACTGTTACACAGGTTACTCCAGAGGCACCTGCACATCCATGTATATTGCTTAGCGACTATTCACAATAGCCAAGTATGGAAACAGCCAGACGATGCGCCCACCACCAAACGAATGATTAAGAAAATGTGGTATCTACACACAAGGAATTCTATGCAGCCATGAAAAGAATGAATGTTATCATTCGCTGGTAAACGGATGGAATTGGAGTAACATCATTCTGAGTTGAGTTAGCTGCCCAAAAGACAAAATCGTATGTTCTCCCTCATATGTGCGATAATTAATCAAGGCAACACAACAATGGATTGACTATGAGCATTATATAAAAGCGAGAGCACAAAGGGAGGGGGAGATAGATAAGACACCTAAAAAATACATAGCATTTGTTTCCCTTGAATGCAGAGAAACTTAGCAATACCTTAAAAGCAACTGAAGGCAATAGGAAAAAGGGAGACAGGTACCTAGCAGAAAAGGGTGTAAATCAAAAAGAATTAACCTAGAAGGTAACACCACGCCACCTAGAAGGTAACACCCACGCACAGGAAATCAATGTGAGTCAATCCCTGTATAGCTATCCTTATCTCAACCAGCAAAAACCCTTGTTCCTTCCTATTATTGCTTATACTCTCTCTACAACAAAATTAGAAATAAGGGCAAAATAGTTTCTGCTGGGTATTGAGAGGGGGGAGAGGGAGGGGAGTGGTAAGGGAGGGGGTGGGGGCAGGGGGGAGAAATGAACCAAGCCTTGTATGCATGTATGAATAATAATAATAAAAAAAAGGTTGTTATTCCTTTTTGAGATTTCCAAGAGCAGATCTGAGTAGTGACTAGATGTGTGTCCACACAAAGACCCACCGAGGATCTTGGGGAGCTTGTGGCCTAGTGGGGGAGGGGTGGGGTTCTGGAAGAGAATCAGAGGGAACTGAGGCAAGCTGGGGGACTTAGAGGACATTTGCGCTTAGATCCAGGTCAGAGGAGAATCAGGCCTGACTGTTGGAATGTGCAAAGTGAGGACATCTTCCCTGATGCCAACTGCAACAAATGCTATCTGTAAAAATTACACATATAACTAACTTCTCTAAGTTTTGATGTTTGGAGGTAACATTGAAGAATGGCTTATAATATTTTTATTCTGTATTTCTAATCCCAATTTACTTAGTAGTGAAAATATGGTGGGTAATCTTCAGGTGCGCCATGTTTTAAGGTATACAACTTTTCAAAGAGAAATCACACTTCAGTCACCCTCTCCCATCCCATGGACTGTGCACAACACCTCGAGAGCTGAGAATTGCTCTTGGTGTCTGTGTGTCTGCATGGTGGTCCACCTACCATCACAGCTGGGCAGTGCATGGTTCCATTGGTGGCTTCTTTCACAGAGGAGGGGCTCGTCATCACTCAGGGTGTATCCAGGGTCACAGCTGAATGTCACTGTGGACCTGATGCCAAAGTTACTACCGTGCCGATGGCCGTTCACTGGGATGCCTGGGTCAAGGCAGGAGTCTGACTCAAGAGTCACACCTAGGGGCATGGAAATGCATTATGGAAGGTCTTTCTGCTCAATTGAAAGAAAAAAAATGTCCCTGTATCAAATTATAAGTTATTATTGCATGTAATCAGGCCCAGGAAATTATCCAAGTGGATAATCAATTATTGAGTTGTTTGTTGAATTTTTAATAATCCATCAATGTCAAAAACCACTATTTCTTCAAATATTTGACCCTGTTTTTCAATTTAGAGAATTTCATGGTTATGCCTTCTTCCCAATGATACGTAAAGAGTACAACCTTGCATAATTCAAAGACAGCTTTGAATTTTGCTTTTCTCCATAGGCAAACCCAATGAACTGTTAAATGAAGTCTAAGGGTTTTCTTTTCCTGTTTTCTAGCTCTGTCCCTGCTCATTTCCTCTTTTTTCCATGTTTTATGTTCTGATTAGATTTGGGGAGTCATATTGTAACATTTGTAGAGATGCACAAGTGCACTCAGGCACAGACACATCTAATGCAAAACCACATTAGAGCTGATTTTCTAAAACTACATTCCATAAATCCTTACAATTTAAAAATCTTCACTTGAGTCAGCCACTTTGGAGAGGGCCATGATTAGCCTAAGCAGAAAGATGAGAAGAGGAGAGTACTACATAAAGTTAAGTACTAGGTCATATCATTGTCAGGGTTTCTGTGCTGTTTCAGACTTCTCTCTTTTCTAAAATAGCATGTATTTTAAAAGATAAGAAAAGAATAAAGCAATGCTGACATACACAAAGAAATAGAGTAGACGTCACCTTTATCTCACTCAGTGAGATTCTGAATATGACTTATGATCTGAGATTTTAATTAAATATCATAAACTTTTGCCAACCCTCAGACTTTTAAGTCCCCCACAGTGTTCTCCTGAGATGTTATTTCTGACCATTACCTACATTTTACCAGCTTGGTGATGTGATTTACAATTACAACTCCCCTCCTTCCGTCAAATGTGAGAAATAATAACTAATAACATGCTTTATCAGCATAGCAGAACCAACCACAGAGCAGGGAAACGAGGTAGAACGGCTGAATCACCAACAAAAAGTGGACGTGATGAAGGGAAACCTAGGTGTTAGTTGAGTGTTGGGCGTATCTTGTTATTCTCTTGAGCCTATAGGGCAACTTGATTCCAGTCCAACCTGTAGGGAGGAGGCACGTGGACAATGATCTAATCACTCATGTCTACATCCTGAAACACCGATAAAACTCTGCACAGCGAGCTTGACAAGGCTTCTCCAGTGCATAGGATGCTGTGCTCAAAACACTCGGGCTCTGAGTTTGCATCCTTCTCTCATTCCACCTTGTGTGTTCCTGCTTTTGGCTTCTTCTGTCTGATATCTTCTCCCCATAAGTATGACTGTGAGTATCCTAAAGGTCAGACAGTTCTTTGACTCCTTCTCACAAATTGGTAAATCCAACAGTGGTTTGGGGAGCTCCCTGAACTTGTACAGGTTCAGCATTGAAAAGAAAAGAATCTGTGCTTTGTAGGATGATGCCTCTAACTTAAGGGCTAAAACTGGGAAAAATCCTGTCACATGGATAGAACTGTGCTTGAACAGTTGAACAATGAAAAGAAAAAGAGGCAAAGTGAAAAAAATATTTAGCATTATTTTTCTCAAGAATTTTTTCTTGAATGGTCATTCTAAGTCCTTAAAAATGGACAAGTGCCCATTACCATACACAAGACACAGTTGTCAACATTTCCAGACATCAAGTGCTCCAAACAACCCTTGCATCCTACAGGAGGCTATGAATGGCAGAGCAGCATGGGTGACATTTGGCCTGAAGTCCACCCCCTTCTCTGATCCTGTCTCCCTCTCACTTCCCCTACCTCTCCTTCTCTCTTCTCTCTTCCCCCCAGCATGCACAAAACCACTTTCTAAGGCAGCATTTTTGACATTATTCACCCTCTATTCTACATGCATGTTGAGCCCTGTACACAGTGGCCCCATAATGCTGGCTGATGGGTTCTATAGCATCAAGATAGGGACAAGAAATTCCTCCAAAGGAGGTAGATAAAGAGAATGATTTGTCTCCAGGTTTTTAAGAAACTCACAAAATCCATTCCTTTAAATGGTTTCCCATGGTCACCAAACAACAATGTCCTCACTGTACTGCAGTGGGAAATAATCAGAGCAATTACTGTTTTATACAATCTGACAGTAACATATTAGTGAATAGTGTTTATCATGAAATTTGTAAGTTCTAATAAAACCTTTTTCCATACAAAAATGGCAGTGGAGAAAGATGAAATCTATCAGAGGAAAACAATGCTTAGAACTTTACAAGGAGAGTTCTTCATGGACACCTGAAGAAGGTGATGGTCAGTACTACCATTGCTATATGATTTATTTATTCATGTGTTTTGAAGAAGTAATTGCACTGACACTGAGTTGTGAAACATGCAAACATTGCACTCCTTTGCCTTACTAATTGTCAAAATGGAGAGTGTGTGAGGAAGGACTGACTGCTGCAGGGTGGAATTACAGTAAAAGACTGAATTGTCAGTTCCCATGAAGCAGGACAGGCTCAGGAATCCCAGGCAAGGTGACAGTGGGGAAAGAAAATATGACATCTCAAAGTGGGTGACATCCCCCAGTAGGATGATGACCCTTAAAAATTTACTCTGATGGTCACGGTGCCTTTATGAGAGCCATGGAGCATTTCTCTTCTGTCCGTTCTCCATCCTGTCAGCACAAGACAAATGGTATTGGTGGATTTATGGAAACAGAATTATGTTTATATTTTGCTCCAACTAGTTTTTAGCCAAAACCTAAAGCAAGCAAATGGCATAAATATGCTTCCTTTCATTTGGCCTTTGTAAAACAGGTAACACCAAGTGCGCTATTTAGTGAAAAAAGGAAGATGATTACTTGGAAATTAACCTGTGTATGCTTACTTGAATGTACATTTGATATAAGCAGGGCTGTGTAAGCTGTCGATCTTTATAAAAGACTAGTTCAAGGGAGCAATGAGATTTACTGAGGGTCATTTATTTGATGCCTGTATGGTCCTCATGTTCACAGCCTCCTGGAGGTTTTAAGATAGAGGTTTGCAGCTCTCATACAGACGAGAGAACAGGCCAAGAGGTTAAGCAAGTTGGACATGTTACTTACTGAGCTCCAGCCTGAGTCTTTCCCTGACTCCCTCCTCACTCTCCCTTTCTCCAGTGTACATGTGAGTTCGTGTGTCATCGGCATGTGTTAGTGTGTGTGCACGTGCTCTTCCAATTATGGTGCATCGCTAGCACCACATCCTGACCAGTTTCTCCTTCTGGTCAATGAATTTCAGCGAAACGGATGCACACATGTGCCATGCATGTGTGCACAAAATACACTCCTTCACCTGCACAGCACTTCTTCAGATCACACAATGCATGAATTCCCCAGTAGGATGTGCACACTTATGTCTGGTTGTCTTTCTTTATTCTTCAAGTTTGGTTAAAAAGATACTTTTATAAAAAGTTCCAAATACTGCTACAAAATTAAGTGGGAAAATCTCTGTACACTTGAGAGTTAGACTTATTTTTACAATCCCTATAAAATGACAGCATTTTAAAGCTGTTATTCAAATATCAAAAAGACCCGCAAAGCAAATAATTGCTCTGGAAGGATAAATCGAGTGCTACTGTATAAGGAAACAATCCCATGTCACTTACGAAGACTAAAGCAAGGCCAAAGCAACTGTCATTGACACAGTTAGAAGGGCTCCCTTCGCCACGCTCAGCGTGCAACACAGAGCCAGTGTTAGATGTGACTTTCGCAGAACCTTCAAAACATGACTTTGACCCTCTGCCATGGAATTCAGAGAGAGCTTCTGACAAGTGGGGTCACATTACATTACAGTCACGAGCACCTGTAGCTGTACTTGTGCAATGCTTTGTGTCTTTTCAGTGGAAGGCCACGGACCATGTGGGCGTAAAGAGGGTCATTAACAACTTTGTAAAGCCAGGACAGTGTCAATCACGTGTGATCTGAGACAAAGGAGTGATGAGTCTTATGCTATTTTTAAATGGCATAAATAATCCAACAGAAGTCACCCATGGATTGTGGGCATCCAGTCCTTGAGGAGTTGCCAAATGTGCAAAGGTGATTCTTTTCTCAGGCTGCACACTGATTTCAGAGCGTGTCCTCACACAGTCCTCGGAACTGCCCATAAGTACGGGTTTGGCAGTGCTCCTCTGTCCCTTGCTCCTCTCCCTGGGTCCTTTCCTCGTCCCCTTCTCCCTGTCCTCTGACCTTTCCCACTCATGGCAGGATCTCCTCCCCAGGGCCTGCATGTCCTGGTCTGCCCGGGCTGACACGGATGACACCAGCATCCACAAGCCACCTCATCCCTCTCCTCCAGGAACTGATTAGAAATCAGAATTATGGCCTCATCCCAGTAGGCTCTCTGCTCGCCATATCCAGAACCGGGTCAGAACTCTGCAGCTTACTCGGCAACCTGCGGATGCGTTCGAGTTCTTCAGGCTCCCGCTAAATTGAGGCTCTCAGAGAGCCCTTAGGTGTCTCGGCCACACGGACACAGTGCCTGACTTCGGAGCTGGTGCTCGGCAGAAGCTTTATTTGAAAGCTCACGGGTAACTGTCAGCTGCAACTCCTCTGCCCCATAACACTGCAGCGACACCGGCCCCAGACTGGCCCGTTTTCTCTTGTAAGAAAGGCCAGATCCCATGTCTCTGGCTGTTGTCCATTTCCTTTTTCTCTTTAAACACATACAATTAATAAACAAATCGAGGTGACAGCATGCCAAGGTTAAAGCTGACATCTTCTAGGATAATATTTTTTTCTAACACAATTTCAATGCCGTAACCCAGAGGAACACAAAAAAAAATGCCTGGGGCTTTCTGGAAAGATCCCTATAAGTTCACAAAATAAAAGTCTGGATGAATATCTTGGAGCTTAACAGAGCACTAGAAAGTTAGCTGCACAAGCATCCTTCCTGTCTCATTGAAGGCACAGAACTGCATTCTGCTTTCCCAAAAAAGAGGGAAGGAATTCTAGATGCCCCATGCATCAGAAATCATACCGTATATGCGGGGGGCACTTGTGGGAGGGAGAGGGTGAATGAAGGAGATTGAGGTGAGGGAATATGGCGGATGGACTTCATACACCTACACAAAGTAGAACAAAGAAACCTCTTGTAATTGCTTGAAGTGGGGACGGGAGGGGTCAAGAGGGAGAGATGGTGGGAGTGATCTAACTAATGTACAAGAAAAGCCTATTTGGAATTGTCACAATGAATGCCCTCTGTACAATAAAAAATAGGAAAAATACATTGATCACACTCATAGAAATACTACTTTATTACAAATGCATCAAACTGCCTCAAAGAAAGAAAATTGACAGAGAAGATTGCTCTGTCAGTCACCCCAGGTCACTGAAGCCAGCTTACATAAATCTGCACAATACCTGTAAGCATGAGGTAAACAGAATGACACCAAAACAACCAGCCTTCTAACGCTGTAAGGACTACTGAACACCACCGGCTAACCAAGTGCATTATATTTCACAGTTGACATGTTCTTAGCAATTGTGTGCCATTTGGGAAGGCTTAGCTGGGTTTTACTTCCTCCCTCTACCCAGCGAATACATACTAGTACATTGTGCAAGCTACCCTAGCAACGAATCCTCTGTCCATTGCTCACTCAGAACACCCAATTTTAAGAAGTTGTCCTGTAACATTTTTGGCCAGCCAGTATCTTTTGTAATAATAAAAATATATTATTACCGTGTGCAATAGAAGAACCCAGTTTTATCATTTTACTTTATAATAGTAATGAATGGGTATAGTTAAAGGAACTTCCTCCCAGACACCCCATAAGGGAATTCTTAGGATTGCCCAGGGTGGTCTGACAGACTCCGTCCATATGACAGAAGAGAAGCACCACATCCTAGGGCCCCCACAGAGGCCACCCAGGGTGGCTTGGGGACCACTTACTCTCATAGTGGATGAGGAAGCCAACACTGGAGCGGCTGCTGTCTGTGGTGAAGAGCAGGTACATGTGCTTCCCCGTGCTGATGAGGAACTGTGGCGCCTGGGTGCCATGGTACTCGCCGATCAGCGGGGAGGAGCTGGCTGGTCCGTCCCTGACTTCCAGAGTGTCATAATTGACTTCTGTTTGGAATCTGGAAAACATGGGCAGAAAAGACAGTCAGAGCAGCCTTAACTTGCAGACTTGACCTAATGTGGTCATCCATTAGTTAAATTTCCTTTAGTTAAATCTCCTCGTACATCTATCTGAATAAAACAATTAAATTTCTCTCTATATATGTTAAAACTTAGGCATATGTATTATGCAAGGACAGTACTTTTTTTGGAAGAAACAACACATTCTAAACCCCTCCATCTTATACAGTACTCTGTCTTGTATCCTGTTAGATACGAACAAGTCATTATTCAGCTCTGAAACAAAAGTACTGTAAAGCAGGATAGTGATAGACAGATAGGACAGACAGGACTGCTAGATAGCTAGCTGGCTGGCTGGCTGGCTGGTTGGCTGGATGAGTAGGTAGGTAGGTAGGTAGGTAGGTAGGTAGGTAGATAGATAGATAGATAGATAGATAGATAGATAGATAGATAGATAGATAGGTAGATGGATGGATGGATGGATGGATGGATGGATGGATGGATGGATGGATAGATGGACGGATGGACAGACAGATGAATGGATGGACAGATGAATGGGTGGATGGATAGATGGATGGATGGACAGATGAATGGATGGATGGATGGATAGATGGATGGATGGGTAGGTAGAGAGATGATAGCTAGCTAGTTAGCTAGATAGATAGATGGGTGGATGGACAGATGAATGGATGGATGGGTGGGTAGGTAGATAGAGAGATGACAGGTAGATAGATTGATAGATAACCCTCAACTAGTAATGATTATGTGTTTTCAAAGTATTTCTCTTGCTTTCCTATTTAACAAGATCAGACTTTGAAATGGACATCCTGAAGTGAAATGATCTCTTGAAGAATGAATTGAAAACATACCACAATATTTAAATACCTTTCCTGAAAGAAAGAAAAAAAAAACACCCTTTACATCACAGTAGCTCTTTTGGGTCACTGCAGTATCACTGAGCAAGTTGCTAGTTTTGAAACCAAAGGAATCTTTACTGATGGAAAAGTTAGAACAGCTTCCAGAAAGTGCTTAACTTTTCTTGTGCTTCCACTGAATCTGGCCTGCAATTATATTTTTATAAAGTTGCAGCCACTCGGGTCCCCTTTGGTACAATGACAGTACCATTGCAGGAGATGAGATAATTTCCTAAATGGGCCCATTTTGTCCTCCAAGAGCTAACCTGGTTTTCAAGCATCTGACTTCGCTCTCAGGGAGCAACTTAGGTATCATAAGCCTCTGACTCACTCAGTAACTGAGCCAAGGTTCTTCTGGAACCTGGACAATTATCCCCTTGCTGGGCTCTGGGTACGGCTGATGAAGAGAAGTTAACTGGAGGGTTAGGGAGCTGTCTCAGCGTCATTGCACAAATCCCTTAAAAATGATGCTAAACCAAAGGTCTACCATGTTTACCATTAATGGTGGGTACTCCCCTCAGCGCAAATGACAATAATTTCCTGTTCTTCAATGTTCTTCCCTGATGGAGCAGAACCACAGAGCCACAACCGGGAGCACTGGAGTGTGATGGTGCTAGCTTTGATTTTATCATCCTAACACTTGCTCTAAAGACTCTATGATGTCCCAGATATTTGAACTCAAATTCCCGAAGTCTGGATAAGCGTGAAAGTAGTCACAATTGCTATATTCCCACTGAAGTTGTCTTTTTTCATTGTTGTTTTTTAGTGACACATAGGACTGATTCAGTGCGTATCTCAACAGCCATGAGATTTCTAGAACTGCCTCATGAAAGGAAAACCCCAGATGCTCTTCATGATTTGGCAACCTGTGTGACAGTGGCATCAGCACTTGTTAAAGCACATCCCTTACAACAGTGTCAGCCCTGGGCCCAGGAGCGGAATAGCAACATATCATGCAAACCATCTTTAATGAGTCAGGCTCCCTGTCTAGGGTAAAAATCCCTAATGTCTAAAAACAGAAGAAATATTAGTTACTTAGCATAGAATTTAGCAAAATATCACACTGAGATAATACTGAGAACACTAGATTAAGAAAAAATAACAAGTAAGTATCTTTTTTCAAGCAACTGAGACAGGAGTGCTAACAGGTTACCCCAAAGGAGAATGCAAAGTCATTGCTTTCACTAAATGATTTAATCCAATATTTTGCTGCAGACTACGGTGTGCTTCATTTCAGCTTATCCCATTACCAGGAAGTATAAAACGTAATTTATTTGGTATTTATAGAGCTCTTAAAAATGATTTGTTACTTGCAGGATTCCTTTCCCCAATATACATGAACCAAACTTTTGCCTTGAAGGATTATTTTACTGTCAATTATCACCCAACAGAGGTGTGAACAATAATTTCTGATAGAGACAATTACTAAAGCTAGCATAAGTCCCACTAAAATCTTTTCTATATTGATATTATAAATGATTAGAAAGAGACTGAAAAAGCAAAAGGACGTGATGAGGTCCATCCATCTCGAGACACTACGAAATTCTGGACATGAAAATGCAACACTGTCTAGCTGAGGTGAGGTCACCATTGGAGAACGACAATGCTATCAAGAATTTGAGCTGCGACAGTAACCAGTGATGCCTCCTTAGACTTTGTAGGCAATGATTTGTTCCTAAAAAAACTTAAGTTTTTAGTCATCAAACCCATTTCAATGTTGACATAAATGGAAAAGCATCTACCACAAGAGCCCAGATAGTCCAGGCACAGGTGGCTCGTGTCTGCAATCCTAGCTACTCAGGAGGCAGAGACCAGGAAGGATCGTGGTTCAAATCCAGCCCAGGAAAACAGTTCGTGAGACCCTATCTCGAAAAAACCTTTCACAAAAAAGTGCTGGTAGAGTGGCTCAAGGTGTAGGCCCTGAGTTCAAGCCCCAGTACTGCAAAATAAATAAATAAATAAATAAATAAATAAATAAAGAGCCCAGATAGCATCCTTCCTTTTATAGATGACCATATACATTATCAAACAGCAAGCCACACACTGCTCCCGTGACGGTACTGCTTGTAGGGAGCTGACAGACAGCTTATTTGCTCCTGCATTCACCCCCTTGCCCCTGCAACCTTCAGTTGCCTCTGGTCTCTGTTCGGCCTGACAGGAACTGGGAGGCCTTTTCTGAGCTGCCAGAGATGTCCCCCAAGGCTCAGGAGGGATGGGGAGTCACTTCCAGAGGCTATCTAATAACCCACAGAACTTATCTCCCTGCTGGTCCCAAATCCAGGCTCAGACACCAGGGTCCACACTAGGAAATGTTACCCAGGACGCCTCTCCCAACACAGCTGCAGGGCTGTGTCACACACGAGTGGACTCTTAGGACAATATGGCAGAATAGGACAACAGAACTGACCAAATCACTGTCCATTCCTTGCTCAGTGAGTTCCTTTGGGGAACCATGAAGAGCTGTACTTTTCTGAGTTTCAAGATCTATTTATTAAAAACAGGAGTGGTTATGGCCTTACGTCCTAAGGGATAGAAAAGGCTCTTTCTTACCGATCGAATGTGATTTTGATAGAATGTCCTGACTCTGCTTCAATGGTCCATTCACAATTTAAAGAATCTTTGTAATATCCCGGCCAGCCAGGAGGCAAAATGACTCCACTAGAAGCTGTCAGATGTCCACCACACGGGGCTGAAGAAGACACACATCTGTCAGGTCAAACATGCAGGCAGGCATGCCATAGAAGCCTCTCTGCAGAAATGCCCATCTGCCTCTGTGCCTCATGAATTCAGTGATGTCAAGAATTAAAGCAAAACTTACTCCCAAGGAAACCATGCATTCATTGATCTCTCAGTGTTCATACAATAATAACAATAATGCCACATGTGTGTTCTTTGCTAAACGGCCAACATGGATGGCCCATGTAATTGTCAATGGCACTGAGGTGGATGACATTGTCTTTACATGCATTTGGAACCCAACAAACATCTTCTGATCAAGTGTTAAATTCCATCTACAATGGAGGCACCCTGACAAGTTTGCCAAGGTGCGAATGTGTTTTTCACATTGAGCTGTCTGCGTTCATTTTATTAAATTAACTTGCTATATATGACCTATGAAATCGCTGGTGAATGGTAGAAAATAAAACAGGTTTCAGTCAAATTTGGTAAGCATAGGCTCTGACTCTGATCCTTTGGAAGGATTGTGTGGCAGGCTGACCCAGGGTAATGAACAGGGCATTTGAAAAGCAACATTCCTTGCACTCGGTAAAGTGATGTCATCTACAGGTGTTTTTAAATGATGCATGTCAAGATTTGAGGGCACAGTTAAGAGCATGCTTCTCCCTGGTGACATTTACTTTTCAGAGTTTGTATATTCTTTCTCAAACTTCTTTGCTATTAGTAATCAACTTTGTGAACTCAGCACATCAAACACATGAAAATTCACCCAGGTTTCTTTTCTTTTTTAAAAAAATATCATTTTTGGAACAAAATTACTTTTAGACCTTCTAAGAAAAAAATGGATATTTTCATCAAAATGATGAAAATTTTTCTAGCACTTTATCCAGATTTTAGTACTAGGGAAAATCTGAAAAGATGACTATAGCTATAACCATGGCAGCTTCATTTGTAACAGAAAACAAAGAAGGAATTACGAAGACTATGACCATCTATCTACTGGGAGGTCCCAAATAAATTTGAAGCAATGTTTTCAAATTTTATTGATATAAGAAAATCTTTGCAATAGAATATTGAATGTTTTAAAGGCAGTATACAAAATTGTTCATATAATACAATAAAAATTTATTGAAACACAAATTTAAACTTTTGAAAGAAAATTTGTTTTATTGAACAAATAATTATACTCAGACAAAAGAGATAGAGCTTCAACAGCTATGATGGGAGTAGATAGCATCAGGTTATTGTTTTTCTTGACAGTTTGTCAAGTAAGCTGGAATCCATATCTCTGAAACTGTGCTTGACTTCCATAATTAGAAAATGTGGTACAAAATCAGCCATTTTCATGAAATTGATTTTTGAAAGAAAGCTTAATTTATGGAGTAATCTTAAAAGCAACTTGTTTTTGCTAATTAACATGAAAGTTTTTCTAGTTAAGTTCCTAAATTCGCACTTATGGACTATAATTCAGAAACAATTTAATTCCTGTTTCTTAAAGTGATACAGAAAGTCATGTTTGAATGGAGCCTAAGCAAAATGCAACATATTAATTTGACTTATTTTATGTTAACTATCCAAGTTACTGAATGTGAAAAATATATAGCAAGTGTAGAACTTCAAGGATTTCATAATATGTGACATTTTTTTAAGCATTTTACATAATTCCTGGTGGTGGTACTGCAGTCTGAACTCAAGGCTTTCAGTTTGCCAGGCAGGCACTCTACTTCAGGAGTCATGTCTTCAGGTATGGGAGCCATTTTTATATCTGCATGATGAGTTATATGCCTTATCTCACATAAATAGAAAGCCAAAAGGTTGCTTGCATTTGTAGATTAAAAAAAAATCTACCTTAGTTCTCTCTTGCTTTCTGGAATGTGCCTACACTGCTATTATCTCATCAGTACAGTCTTTATCAATTATGAAACATTAGAATTTTATGCAGGTGAAATGGATACGATAATCTTCATATTGCCTATGAATGAGCTGAATGCTAAAATATTCAATGATCTGAACTTTGCCGTATCAGTCAGCTCAACAGACATCCTGTGGTCACAACAGCCCCACAGTTTCATAGCTGCATCAGGTACTACATTGCACACACGGCTCCACTTCTAGGACTATGAGTGGAAACTCCTTCCTTCAAGTTGCTCTGGAAGATAGAAAAGGTCTGGCAGGGCAATTGAAAGTTTGGGCCCTGAAGTTGAATATGTCACTTAAGCTTATACCTTGTTAGCCAGAAGCTAGCACACTTCCATCCAACCCCAAGGTGGCTGAGAAGACACAGTCTACTTGGAAAAGCCCAGAACAACTGGTGAACAACCATGAGCTCCATCTTCACAGAGCTTTTAGGATGTAAGCACTCCTTTGATTTGCTGAGGATTTAAACTACAGTGACAGGTTTTCTGACATTGTATTTTTAAAATATCTCCTTCTTGATTACATACATTTTTCTATAAATTCCCTGATTTGGGATGCATTAATACTGGATTTATGAAATGTTACATAAGAAGACAGTCTATCTTTTCTGTTGCCTGTCCTTGTATTCACAGCACTAAAATCTTTTATCCTCAGAAGATCGAGAACACACAGGTGCATCTCTAGGTTACTTGTGTCTTCTTCAGTATTCAATCTTTAGTCTTTTCTCAAATATTTTCTAAAGTACTTTATTTATATCTGATTCTTTTCCAAGTTTTAAATTTTCTACTTTTGGTATTTTATGTTTCTAGATGGCTTTTAGAATGTGTTGAGTTGACATTGGTCATATATTAGGACATGACTATTTTCCCCCATAATAACTTGCATCTTTAGTGCATCACTGGACTATCCCGAAACATGAGCAGGTTACAGGCAGAACAAGCCTCCAGCCCAGAGGCCACACGGGTCATACCCAGGTGCTTGGTGCTCAGTAAACAATACTTTTTTTTTTTTAAACAAATTACATTATGAGACTTTTATTCTTTATAAAAAGTAATACTTCTATTTTTGTAATCATGCCTTTTCTCTTTTATGTACTTAAAATCTTACAACTCTCTTCTCCCTGGTTTCTTTCAGCAGAATCAAGCAGGGTTTGTCTGTTACTCGTATTAACAAGAGCTTTGACTCCTGTTTCTAACATGTAACTTTTGTTAGTTTAATGTTTTAATGAATTTTTTTAAATGATGGCAAAGTTTATTAGGTAAAGATACACTTTTAATGTACTGAAAGTCTGTCATTCCTGCAGTGAGAACAAGAATTACCTATTTTAACTTATTTTTGTTCTTTTTTTTTGCAGCTTTTTAGTAAAAGCTTTATTTCTTATCCGTTAAAATATAAAGTATTAAGCTTTATTTTTTATCCTTTTCTTCAATGCTGGATGGTATGCAACTCCCTCCTCATAGCAGGTTTACTGCATCACAATTTTCCTAAAAGATTTTCCTTCTGATGCTTCCCTGGCAGGATTGGACGTTTCTGCTGGGTATTGGTGGGGGAGAGGGAGGGGGTGGAGTGGGTGGTAAGGGAGGGGGTGGGTGCAGGGGGGAGAAATGACCCAAGCCTTGTATGCACATAGGAATAATAAAAGAAAAAAAAATGGGAGAATATATGCTCCTTCTAAGGTGATAGTCCCCTTCTACCTGACCCCATGCTCCTTATCACCTGTCCCTTGCTAGGTCTTTGCTCCACCAGTCCTGTGAAGGTCTGTGCTTACCTGCAGCTTGCAATGCATCTATATAGCCTACTATGGATAAAGGGCACAGTGACAGCTGGAATTGTGGCCAGACAACAATGGAGATTGGAGTTTATTTTAAATGTCTTTCTCAGGAAATGATTCATGCCTCAAAGTCAATACCGACATGGTTGGTTAGAGCAGTGTCTGCAAACATGATTGATGATGCAACAGTTTCCATGTCACACACTTGAACACCCCATGTGTGGATATTTATTTCTTCATATCCATTTATTAACATGTTATAAAATGTAAACTATAAAAATCTTATGTTTAAGAGATGTGATAAAATAGGCAAAAATACAAACTCTACTATTGTGTTCTTGACCTTCAATGTGTCAGTTTTCTACCCATTGGTCCTATGATTGCCCAAATCGTGTTAACAATTTATGCAAGAAATTAGAACATCCTTGGATACTTACAGCACAGCCAGACAAGACAAAGACTAGGATGTAGCTAGCTGTGTCCCTTAGAAAAATGACGAGCAAGTTTGGAGGTGCACCTGTCACAGGTGGCATAACATCACCCACTCTGCCCACCATGAGACGCTTTAAAAACTCAGTCCTTATATTTAGGCCTGGCTCTGCTGAGGCTTGGTGGAGCTCACAGGTCTGATGATGACATGTGAAAGAATTACAGATAGGAGAGTAACCCTCAATGCATAGATTTCTTTTCTATTGACACATTAAAAAGAAAAACATGTTAGGACCGGGCGCATAGCTCAAGTAGTAGAGTGCCTGCCTAAATTTGAACTCTAATACTTCCAAAAACCACCACCAACAACAAAAATGTTGACTTAAATGGAGAAAAAGAAAAATTAACACAGGAAAAATTCATTACCATGGCTCACATTTTAGTGTGAGATGCTCTTTTCAGTTTTTTGATAATTATTATGAGATACATTAAAATACTTGGACATATTCCAGGTTTATATTTCATATTTAAATGCTTAGATGTCTTCTGTATTTCCTATTTATATGTTTGTATATTTTCAAAACTATATATTACTACAAGTGTGCCAGTATCATCCGTTCTCTCCTATGGCAATCATTCAAGTGCATTTGACGTCATAATCTTTGCTAATAGTGACCTGGGCTATGAAAGCTTCATGCATAAAACAGTGGGAATGTGTTTCCTTTGTTTAAGCCACTGCTATGGCTCTTTGTTCCCGCAGCCAGGGAAGCTTAATGTTCAATGTTCATTTGAAGAAGGCTGCATGAGTGCAAGGAAAAGGGGGCAGAGGACAGGGCCAACCTTCACAGCGAGGGACGGTGGAGCTCCAGACCACATTCCCATCCTGCAGGATGCAGGTGACAGACTCAGATCCTTGGGTTTTGACAAATCCATCATCACAGTGGAAAGAAACAGAACTCCCAAGCAGAAACCTGTCTCCAAAACGCCGCCCATTTATAGGAATGCCGGGATCGTGACACTCATTTTGACCAAATGCTGAAAAGGAAAAGAGAGAAAAAAAAAGTAAAATAAAGATACTTGGATGTCAATTACATGTATTCATAAAGAAGGAAAGGACACAGTTCTAAAACAATTATTTCTCCAAACTTTAGATTATTCATATATAAATACATTCATTGAATAAGCAAGATGTTAGTATCTATGAAAGAGAGAGAAAGAGAGATAGAAAAAGAGAGGGAGGGAGGGAGGAATAAGAGGGAAAGACAGAGAAAGAGAAAGGATTCATGGGATAACTGTCATGTTCACAGAACTTCTCAGTGTGAAAGGCCCTTTCCTGTGCACTGAGAAGAGAAGCAACACAATGATGGTAAAAACCAGAATGTCCTGAGGTCAGGAAACATCTGACCTGGGTTAGAGTCCTGTTCTAATGGGCAGATTACTCTGACAATTGTAGCCTTCTTGTCTTCATTTACAAAATAAGGAATATTAAGCCTATATCATGGAGTTACTATAATACCAAATGAAATGATTACCGGAAAATTCTAAATACAATCCCTGAGAGAAGTAGTCAGCTAATGATCAATTAGTGTTATTTATATAAGCATCCCCTTATTTTATTTTTTCCACAATGCATTATATGAAATCTGTTTGCAATTGTGGAAACTGAGGCAAACAGATGTTAGAAGACTTATCAAAATCCACCAAGTATCTCCAAGTTCTGGCATTGTTATCCTCAGCTACTGACCTCTAGTGCCCCAATATTTTTCTCTTCACTATGTTGCTGCATAGAGGATGCATGGGTGGATTGATATATGGATGGACAAATGGATAGGCAGAAGGATGGAAAGAGGTATGGATTAAAGAATGGATGGATGGATGGGAGTATGAATAGATTGATGGGTAGGTGAATGGATTTTTGAATGGATTGATGGTAGATGAATGGACTTATGATACATGAATGGAATGATGGATGGATTGAAGACAGTAGATGGAAAATAATGGACAGATGGAAAGATGGATAGATGGAAGGACAAATGAAGGATGCATTGGTGGATGAATGAGTAAACAGATAATCAGAAAGAGAAAAGACCCAATCCCCCTACTGTAGGGGTAACCAAGACACTAACTTGAATAAAGGGATGTATTTTTTTATTATCACGATGTGACATAAGTTTGCTACTCTCCCTACTTTAATAATGAGCTTTGAACTCCGACTTCACGTACATGTGAGTGAAACGTGAAGGAGGTGCCTGTTCAGGAGCACTTACTCGTGTAGGTGATGTTGAATCCTCTGCCAGTCGTCGAGTGATCTGACTGAAACTCTAGGCGCACTATGTGCCCACTGCTGGCCAGCTGGGCTGGCACTTCATTGCCAGAGAAAGTGCCAAGGACGGTTATATCAGAAATCCCATCATCTTTGACCACCAAGAAGTCAAACTGGGGCTCCACATCAAAATCGTTGAAGATGAGGTGAATTCTACTTCCAGGCTCAGATATGATCAACCAAACACAGTTCATGTTGTTACCATATTCCTCTGGGTAATTTGGTGACAGAATAATCCCAGATGATGTCGTAAAGTTGAAGAAACATGAAACTGTGGAGACAGGAATGTATTTCCTAATGGTTTTGCACAAAACCTGACAACTACCCGGGAACCTGACTGCTGTGAACTCAGAAGGCAGTCCACACTCATGGCACTGTCCACCTGCTTTCCAAACGGGCAATTCTGGAACACAGTACTTTCCTTTTCATTATTTTATGCAGCATAGCCAAGTTTATTCATAATCAGGTAGGCTTTCATTTTAAAAATAATTCTGCTAAGTTGGTCAGCAATGTGAGCTGCATACTGTTAATTCAAGTTGTTCTTTATGCCTCCAGAAGAACAGAGCTGTCACAAAAGGGTGTGACTGCATGCAGGACAATTCTGCTCTCCTGTGACAATTGTCCACATATTTCACATCTTCCTTTAAAGGCCCGTTCAGTATGTGCTCTTTAAGGTGCTTTTTCCATTGGAACAATGGACTCAGAACTCTAGGCTGTGACTTCATGGCCATGCCACATGGTTTCCTATATGATTTCCAGCCATTGCTGTATTTATCTACAAATAAAACCTCCTTTTATATTAGCTGTTAAAACACTGTGCACAAGAGGAGGCCGGGGTTTCCTCAACTGAATCCTAACTCTCACTACCACCCACTCCCACTCTGACCGGCAGGTCTTCACTGCAGGACCTGTACTCACACACACAGCTCGGCTTATTGCCCGACCACTGGTTGTTCTGCTGGCAGGTGATCACTCTCTCCCCCACCAGCTCAAAGGCCGCCTGGCACTCGAAAGTGAGTGTGTCCCCGTGGAGGAAGCTGCTGCCTGTCCTCTTCCCGTAGGCTGGGATGCCAGGATCGTCACACCCTCCCTTCTCAATTTCTGAAAATGGAAAGAACAGATGAACCATTAAGACTGTACACCAAGAACGCTGTTAGCTTCACAAGTCTGCTAATGAAAGAGTGTTTTCTTGATGCTGGTCTAAACACTGATTTAGTAAAAATTTCAAAAAGATTCTCAATTTGTCTCACATTTAATTACAAAAGCCAGAACAAAATGGGAATTCGAGCTTCAGAAAAAGGTATTTAATCTATTGTCTTTTAAGGGACAGACACACATGGCTACACAGATGGCAGTGTAATTAATAGCTGCATCTTCTCCACATTGAGACTTCAGTCTGTGACGGCTGCCACTAAGATGCAAACACTAATTTTGTTTCAATCTATGGGCTTTTATTATAAAGAATACAAATAACACTGTTAATTCTCTGCAGAATATCGAAATCAGTTTGATGTGTCTGAATATTCCTCTCCTTAAACGAATGTTAAAACTCATTTATGAAACAAAATGAACATATTTATGGTTTCCAGAGGAAAAGAAAACACAGGACCAAAGCTCTTCTCATTCAAACCTCAGTGTAATGGAGGATGGATGCAAACACAGCAGACCTGCAAGGAGGTTTCAAACTCTGCTCTGTCTCAAATGTCAACAACACAGGGTGCCTTAGCTAAAATATGTTATTGATTTATTCAGATGAAAAATCCTTTTGGGAGCCAGTGATGACTCCTCTGTTAGGTGGTAGGGCTGGTGGGCAAGCAGGAGACAACCTCCACTGAGAGGAGCTCACATTCCATGGAGTGAAGTAAAGAAGTCTAGCAATGGCTGTCTTTGAACAGGGTGGAAGTCACAGGGCATAGAGACAGATGCCTGGACAGGGACAGGGCCCCAGGCAGCCTATCCATTCCAACTTGCACTTACTAATGCCAGAAGATGAAATGAGGGTTCCCAGATGAGTCCTGACCTTTCCTGAGTCCGGGTTTAAAAGCTCTTGCTGTAGGGTTGGGAGAAGGAGGCCTTCCAACAAACATGGGCTGGGTCCTGCAGACTGTGATCCCCAAACACACTCAGTGGGTCTCTCATCTGTTTCCATTTATTTTTGTTTAAGTCTGAGATTTACTTATTTATTAAAGTTTTCATTTGATTTTCTATTCATTTTTCTTCTAAAATTCTTCATGGGCTTTCACTGACTATCTTATGGATGTCAACAGCAAATTTGAATCTTTGTTTTATTAGCAATGGCTATAGTTGAATATGGTCTGTTCTTTTAACGCTCACGTTGAAATGTGGTTCCCAATAAAACTGTCGAGGGATGGTTGGGTGACAGGAGTTCATTAGGGTGTTCAGAGGGATTAATGAAGTTCTCAGGGGACTGGATTAGTTACCATGAGAATGGGTTGTTTATAAAGCAAAGATCTTTAAATTCTTTTTGGGGGGGGGGCAATACTAGGATTTGGACTCCGGGCTTTGAATTTCACAGGCAGGTATCTACCACTGAAGCCATACCCCCAGCTGTTTTTGCTTTGCTTACTTTTTATATAGGGTCTTGAGTTTGTGCCCAGTCATCCTGGCTGGAGATCATCCTATTTATTCTTCCTGCATAGCTTGGGATAACAGGCATGTACCACCACCCACGGCTTTTACTGACTGACTTGGGGTCTCATGGAGTTTTTGCCTGGGTTGGCCTTGAACTGCGTTCCTCCCAATCTGTGCCTCCCAAGAAGCTAGGCTCACAGATGTGAGCCACCACACCTGCTCCCACGTTTTGTCTCACTTACCATGCCTCTTTCTGCCATGTTAGGATGCAGTGCCTGGTCTTGGACTCCCAGCTTCAAGATCTCTGAGTCTAAATAAACCTCTACTTTTTATGAATTGCTCAGGCTTACGTATTCTGTTATTGCAACAAAGTGAACTAAGATAGCATTTAGTTCACTTTCTGATCAAGCTCTCATTTTCTGGAATGTTTGCAGAAATGACTCAGAACTGCTTTTCCTGGTGGTTTCAGGTACAATGTGTGACACATACAGACCGATCCATCTGTGTCACAGTTCACCTGAGCAGAGTCACTACTTCTGAGTGTCTGGGAGTAGCAAAGAAGTGAATCCAGCTAATAATGTCAGAGTGGACTGAAGACTTTCAACACATGGGAAGTGGTCACTTTTCTGTCTTCTTAAGTCAAACAGCACCTGCACAGGTGCAGGTTCTGGGTGGGGGTTAGGTGTACTCCACACACTTTGCACCTGAGGCTTTCAAATCAAGGAAGGGCCACTAATATCACAGCTTCTTGGGTGCCTATATGCTGCTCCTGATTCAAGCCGGCTGGGAAGGCACAGAGACTACCCTCACCTACCCTTAGGGCTTTGAGCTTAATTGCTGTCCAGGAATTGAACAGAGCTGTGCCTGGATTCTTTGAATTTATGGCATGGAGTGCCTCAAGCAGAATCAATGTGAACTCGAACCCCTGTCCATGTCAGAACAGAGCTCGAGATGCATGGCTGCGCTGGATTCCAGAGTCCCGGTGCAAGGTCAGGAGTCAGCTGCCAGGATTGGTGTCAAGCACAAGTCTTGGTGGTGACCCATGTGGTCTCACCAAGCCTCAGTGTCCACAGCATCCTCTTCTGCTTCTGGCCTCACAGCGTGGTGGTACAATTGACACAAGGTAAGTCACATGTCATATCCAGCACAGAGACAGAAATGTCACCCCTCACTCTGGCTAGCAGGAAACCTCAATGGTTCTTTCTTCAGCTGTCATACCAAAGCTCACAATTTCTTCTTATGATGGAATAAACCAGGGCATTTTCAGATAAGACTATTTTCCATATTGATTAAGTCAGAGAACTCCCTTTATGGAATTTTCAGAAACACAGTGGTTACATTTAGCAAGGTCTTTCTGCTTCTCACAATGAGGGTTAAGAGATCTGTGGTCCGTCACTGCCACCAACTACACACGTTCGCCATCCGGATACAAGACTGCAGCTGACCTCAGGCAGAATCTGTGTCTGTCACCTCTGTTACCCGGTGGTACACAGGCACCAGTTACTAGCAAATGGGATAGTGCAACATGAGTAGGACTGTGTTTCACAATCATAGAAGCGTGGAATTATTCCAGGTTTCTGCCAGTGAAGCTTCATTTGGGGGGAAGCATGGATATTTTGCCTTTTAAATACACAAAATACAATTACCCCCAAATTGTTGTGACAAAATATATGCAGATTCCAAAATTCCACTTGAGGGTCATACTGCCCTAGCTAGGAGTCTCTCCCAGAAGTCAAAAGAGTGCAAGGTAAGATTGAGCCACACTGATATCACAGCTGCGTCCGACCTCCTTCCCACCGCGTAACACAGGATGCCAGAGTGACCTTAAGACATTCGCTTTGAAACACAACTTAGAGTTTAGAATTGATTAAAGCACTGAGGCCCCTTGAGAGGAAAAGAGTTAGCATCCCAAATGTCCTTTTCCAATTATCAGCCTGATAATTGGAAGGCTGCAGGAGGTGTCAGCTTGGAATGACTCCCTCCCTACTCTGTTTGTTTCGGCAGTACTAGGATTTGAACTCCAGGCTTCATGCTTGCTAGGCAGGTGCTCTGCCACTTCAGCCATATCTCCAGCCCATTTTGCTCTGGTTATTTTTGAAGATAGGGTCTTGCTTTTTTGCCCAGGCAGGCCTGGACAATAATCCTCTTATTTTTTGCCTTCCCACCATGGCTGGGATGACATACAGTTACCATCACACCCAACTATTGATTGAGATGGAGCCTAGCAAATTTTTTGCCAAGGCTGGCCTTGAACCTTGATCCTCCTGATCTCACCCTCCCAAGCTACTAGGATTACAGGTGTGAGTCACCAAGGCTAGTGTTCTTGTTTTTCTGAAACTGCCTTTTCAGAAACTGGGCATATTTGGGGCAAGTCCACTGCGGTCTCAGTGAGGATTCTGTTGATATGTTTTGTCTTTGACAGTCACCTTCAGAATCACCCAAAATATCTTTCACTTTTGATTGTTACATTAATTTTTTTTCTGAAATCTGTGAAGCATTCATTTGGAATGATATTTTAATAGTTTATAAACATTTTTATTAGAATGACATTTTATGCTTAATGTCATCTCTAATAAATCTGATTTTTATTTGAAACTTTGCACCATGACTATAAATGTTTATATGACAAAAGAGTAACTAGATGCAGCAACAGTTTTAGGACACAGGTAAATCAGAATAGTGGACTGGCAGCTGAGGTTGTCAGTTGTGTAAATGACCTGCTCTCACAGGCAGAATACTACAAGTCCTATTAGAGGGACGTCCGAGGTGCATTACCATAGGGACCTCAGAGGGCAAATCTCTGAGAAAGGCAATTAAAATATTAAGATAGACTGTGTGAACTTGCAAAGTACTTGACAGGTTTTGATTTACCACAATTACCTCCATGTAACAACCTCATGCCTATAGCCATCCCTACAGCCACAGCTTGTCCTTTTGATTCTCAGCACATAGCAGGTCCTTGGCTTTCTTGCAAGGGTGGTCATGAGCTGAGAGCTGTGTCATCATTCAGCTGCTATATGACCCTTGTAACTGTGGTGACCTCAGCCCCGAGCAGCAGATGCTCAGATGGGTGGCTGCTGTGTTAATGATGCCGAGGTGTTCTTTGCGTCACTTCTCAGAGGCTGTTTATCTACCTCTTCTTCATATTTGTGCCTCTCTAGTTTTGACTGCCATCATTTGACCTTGTGGTTGCTGCCCAGCTGACTCCAACCAACCCTGCAGTTCACCTGCAGCCAACCAACCTGCCAGGTGTTCTTGAAGACAATTCCAAGCCAGCAGTGTGCGGTTTTCATAAGTCCCATGGCTGCAACCTGCATTTCTGAATGTCCACCTGGGGGCTCCCATACCAGGTTCAGGAAGAGCTGGACTCAGCATTGCTTCTCTATCCCATGACCTCTCTCCCTGGTCTTTCTGTCTGAGACACCACTGTCCCACCTTTTCCTCACTTCTTCATCAAAGCCTTCAAAACCAGGGTCCACATGTTTTGTTTTCTCTCCTCTAGCATTTAT